ATAATAAATGCCCTGTGACTGGCGTGTTTGTGCAGATATTGTACTGTCGTTTCTATCTACAAAGTTGACCGTACAACAGGGTATGCTTTGACATGTTGGCAGCAGCATCCAGTCCCATGCATTGTGCATCTTGTAAGTGTGGTGTCAATGTTTCATTTTCTTTTACAAATACTATGAATATGAAATTGTGCCATAAAATGCATCATGGCTCCCCAACCCAGCAAAACTAGGGCCAGTGATCCCAGCAGTAAGAGGCAAAGGACTCGTGTTGATTAAGAAGTGAAACCAAAGGTTACTAAATAACACAGAGTTGAACAATCAGTGAATGCTCCTGCTCCCTTTTTGGCGTGTTGTGCTGGACAATCAGCAAATCAAACCCATGGCCATTGAACAGATTCTGACTCTTAGGGCCGAAAGGGTAGAACTGCTGCCGAGAGTCTGTGAAACGAAAGCTTTGGGGAGCCAACAGCCTCATCTTCCTTCTGGGAAGTGGCTGGGAAGTTTGAACCATGGAGCTTGCAGTTAGCATGCCAATGTTTAACCCAGCACATCACCAGGGTTCTGGGCAGTCACGACGATTCTCAAAAACCAAATGAAAATTTCCCAAGCTGTGACGGCCTCAGCGCCAGTGAAAGCTACAAGGCTAATGCAAATAGGAGTCGGGCCTGTATCTGATAGGGAGGCAGTAACTTGCAGGTCTGGCGGTGGGGAGGAGGTTGGGGAGAACTGATGAGCTAATAATGCTGTGTACAAGAATGGAGAAAATGTTTGAAACCGATTATGGTGACGGTTGTCAAATGTCCTTGATGAGCTTGCTCTACTCAATTGTATGACATGTGGATTCTGTGCCAATAAAACTGTTGGGGAAAATCCTTACAATAGGATAAAAACAACATGCTTATATAAGGGGAAAATATAGGAAATTTATAATGATCTGGGCTGAAGACTCAACAGAAATAAGAATTCCTTTCAGTGCCTTGAAGATCCCTAGTAAGGCACAAATCTTGTTTGAGATGCTAAAGAACAAGTCTACAGTGGAGTTCTCCCACATTGTCCAAACCACGTCACAGTTTGACATAGGTACTCTAGAGACTAAGTGACCCTGGGGTGAAGTCAAATTGCTTAAATTTGACTCTTCTATGCCTGTCTCTGGAAGCCCCACCAAATGATTGGGTGGGACCATGCAAATAGGGTGTGTGAGACACTAATGAAAGGGATTGGCTAGTTTTGCCATTTCACTGGGTATCTATCTGAGCGAATCACTTCAGAAGCAGGAAGAACCCTGGACATCAAGACAGCAGCGCCACCAGTGAAGTGTGTGCGAGATCCCTGCAGAGACGTCAGAGGCCACAGCAGCGAGCTCATGAGACAGAGCAGAGGAGGTGGGCTAAGCCCATGAGGCAGAGCTGACAGCCAGCAGCAAGACCACAGAACAAGTCAAAGACCACGGGACCACGTGGTTGCAAGGTCGAGGACCCAAGAGAGGCAGGCTTGCATTGAGATGCATTGAAAATGGTATCTGCTAGCTTCCATAACTACCCCCTTCACGTTGCACATTGTCTGAGTTCCCTATGGACATTGCAGTGAATGAGGGAGCCCAGCAGTGAAATTAGTGCCCTTGGCAGGACGGTCAGTGCCAGAACACGTGAAGGGGTGTGGGTGTGGGTGGAGGCATGTCTGCCACCTGCCTTATGGCACCTGGCCTCAGGTTGGATTGGCGTGGGATGCTCCTTCTCCTTTGTGTAGCCAGGAGGTCAGCTGTGGTTACTATGCCACTTCTTCAGCACCATACGACGGCCGGACAATCGATGTATCACGGAACTATTGCCAAATAGCCTTCAAGAAGGAGGACAGTACACTGAGGTGGTAGCAAATGCCCGTCTACTCGTGCCTTCCCCATGATCGGATTAAGTATTAAATCATTTAAATTGTATCAGTCTGATAGATTTTTTTAAAGAAAGCAATGAATGAAGAGAGAATTCGTTCTTGGTTGCTTCAAATTGCATAATCCTGAATCCCTTTTTATGGTCATGGGTAAACTAGTATAGTTTTCCTTGAATGAATATTCATCCTCTTTATGCATTTTGCTATTAGATAAGATCACATCAATTTGCAAGAACTCTTCACACAGTGGTAGCCGATTATCATATGTGTTGGGAACCCTGGCGGGACAACCGTGAGGTGCTCAGTTGCCTGCCCCAACGATGGCCGTTTTCACTCACCCAGTGGGTCCCTGGAAGAAAAACCTGGCGACTTGGTTCTATAAGGATGATAGCCAAGCTGGGGTAGGTGATTGCTAAGAGTCAGAAGCGACTCAATAGCACACTTCACCCACATCATATGAGCACCAATTTGGGGGAAGAAGGAAGAGATATGGTGTCCAATCCCATTGCTTTAGATCAGTGTTTGCTGAAGTGGGTGCTACTGCACCCTGTGGGGTGCTGGAATATCTGCACAAGTAGATACCTACGAGGTTGTGGGGAGATGGGGAGTTATTAACGATGAGTATAAGAATGACAACAATGTTCTAAAGTTAATTGTGATGATTGGATAACTCTCCCTAATCAGTCTGAATTATTGAGCTGTATAATATGAGAATTATATGCCAGCAAAATGGCTTTTTAAAAGCAGACGCTCACACTTTATTTTGGATTATGGGCTATAGTATTAAAGTTTGTAATGGCCAGAGGGGCACTACATAATTTTTTTCTCCTGAAAAAAGGGAAGTTGTCCAAATAAATTTGCACAGCTAGGCTTTAGGTCAGTGAGTTAGTTAATTGTGCCAGCCTGGCCGATAATCACATGTGGTGCTGGTTGAAAGGCGGAGGGATGAATGGGTGGTGAAGCCTCGCCTTTCTAGTTCTCGGGTCTCTTGTTTTGTGATGGTTGCATCGGGTGCAGCTGCCTTAGCAGTTCCCTGCTTCAGCTTGCAAGATGGATTTCCTACAAGACATCCCCAAGGAGAAGCTGCATGGACCTATCCCGATGCAGCCCTGGGTGCTGGAGCAGCTGTGTGGAGACCCCTGCCAGCGCTGAGATGCTTACACGTTCACTGACTCAGCTTTCCTCCTACAGTAGGCATTATTGCCTGTGTTTTGTGAGGTGAAGGACTTTGTGGACTGGTGTTGGGTTAATGGGTTAGTGTTGGACTTGTGGGCTTGGGCAGCATTGGGTTGGGATGTTTTCGTGATGCACCTTTTCTTTACATAAAACTCTCTTATACGTGAGTTGCCGTGGATTTGTTTCTCCAAAGTACCCAGACTAATACAGTCAGGGATGGGGAATCTTTTTTTCTGCCAAGGGTCATTTGGATATTTATAACATCATTCTCAGACCATACAAAATAAGCAACTTAAAAATTACCCCTGCTACCTATGGTCCAAACATTTCATTAACGCCGCCACCCTCCCCTCCCCATGATGGCTGGAACTGCTTGTGTTTGGTGAGGCATGTGATGGAGCTGCTAGGATTTCTTGGGCCTTATATAGCTTACAGGCCAAACGTTCCCTGCCTCTGCTTTAAGTGAACAATTTCTAACTATCCAATCATGTATCCCTATAGAGCACAGTCAAACTAAGACTGTAATTCTTTCTGAGAATAGAAAGCCCTGACTTTTTCCCTCAGAGTGGCTGGTGGTTTCAAACAGCATACCTTGCGGACAGCAGCCCAAAATGTAGCCACCTTTAGACAACTATATTGTGACGTCATGCATTGCAAAAGCCAAGTTGTCACATATGTTTTTCTTTTTGTTTAGGTCTGTAGGGTTTTGAACCTTAGAAAAGTTTTCTCTCAATAGAGAAATGTACGATATTTTATAATTATCAGCATGTAAAGATATCCTCAAACCCCTGGTTCGTAAGTAGGGGTAATTTTGTTTCCCAGGGGAGATTTGACCGTGTGTGGAGACATCTTTGGGTGTCATAAGTGGCATATGCTAATGGCATCAAGTAGGTAAATGCCAGGAATAATGCTAAACAGTCTACAATGCACAGGGTGGCCCCAGATTGGCTGGTGGTTTTGAACTGCTGATCTTTCGGATTGCAGCCGAACATCTAAGTACTATGTTGGTATAGGGAAGTGGAAGAGTTAGCCTGCTGTTAATACTAGAAATACTTAACATAATTGAAGATTTAGTTTAAAAAAATCCAAAAGGTAACAACACCCCTCCATTACAGGAAAAAATCCTTGTAAGCTTAATCAGCAGGGATGTTCCAACGCAGGAGGAAGGAGGCTAACAAAGTCATTGAGATACGCATGTAGCCAGACAGGAAGTACCCCAATTTGGATAAGCAAAGGAGTGTGACGCTTCAAGGTGGTTGTGGCCTAAGGGCCCCAGGAGAAATGTTGGCCTAGATAATTTCTTAATGTTTGTTGAAAAACCTGCTTTCTTAAGAGTATCCATTTTCTCCTGTGACATTGTAAAAACCAGCTAATAATCTCTTCCGGTAATTATTGTAACAAAACAACAACAGCAGCAGCAACAGTTTCTCCTACATTAAAGCACTGGGTCAGAACTGAACTCTGAAAACAGCTCCGAGGAGAAACCTGGCTGTTTCCCTTCTACAAGGGCATTTTACTTGCGAGAATAAATGCAGGATTTTGTCTGGTTGGGGCTCATCCAGTGACAGGTTTCTCAGACCCCCTGCAGCCGCCAAGAGCACACCTGAGAAGCCCTGCTGCAAACCATCTCTGCTCCCTGATTGTTCAGCTCCCCGTCACCTCCGTCTTCCCGTATATTCCAGAACAGTAAAACGATTGAGGGAGATGAGAAAAAGACCAGGGCGGGACGAGGATAAGGAACACTTGGTAAGGGAGAGAAAGCCAACACAACCCATTTGTACTGTCCTTGACTCAGTCCTTCCCGTTTCGCTCCCGAAGTTCAAATTTACCAAACATCATGGTGCAGAAGACACCAGAAAAATGCGTTGAGATACTGGACAACAAAAGTGGCTGACATCATTGGCAGACTACTAAGAGACAGAGCAGGGAGAAGAGAGGAATTATTATGCAAATGCATTTATTTGAACTAATACATGGCTACCCGATTACATCACTTTTCAGAATTAGAGTAACATTATGATGTTGGAAACTATAGCAAACAGTGGGACACAGTAAGAGTACATTAAGTTCTACATATATATTTCTATTTCTTAGGGACCACATCTCTTAGGTGTAAAATTGAAAAAACAGTGTACAGTTAGCATACTTGGCCCTATTGCATCCTGGCTAACTTCTGAGCACTCTCTTCCTTCAATAGTGTCCTATTCAACAGCATTTTCGATTTAAAGAGAGATTGGTGATACAGGCTTCAAAAAATATCAAAAACAAAAAGAAGGATGTATTTAACTAAGTATTTTAAGACAAAGTATATCAATTGTTTACAGCTTGTGTGGCAGAAAGATGCAAATTTAAGGTACATTTCTCTTCTACTTTTCATAATGCATGATTTTTTTTTTGGTTTTGGTATTTTACTTACTTGAAGACCCCTTTAAAAAAGTAGCAAAATCAGCAGTCTTGTTTAATGTAATCAAAATATTCTTAAACGTACAAAAAAGGATCACGTCGAAAGAATACTGTAAAAAGATACTGATTTTTAAGAGTAAACGAATCTGAAAAGCTTCTGTGACATTCTGCATAGCCCATTACTTCTGCAAATTTCCAGTACTACAAACCAGACATGCCTCCAACTATTCTCAGCCTAGAGTTCTCCACGAAGAACTGGCTGGAAAGGACAATCACCATCTAATCATATTCCTATCTGATCATCTAAACTAATCCCAAGAGGTGGATGATCTAAGAGGAAAAAAGATACATAGCGAGAAGTAACATACAGCCACAGGAAATGTCGAAGGCAGCAATCTAGGAGAGAGTAAAATGGTTTGGGGCTATGAGCACATTTTAGGTGTGCCTGACAAATCCAACGCTGGCTATGGGACAGAACCCTCTTTTTAGTAAGACTCTTTCCCCAAAGGGCTCTGATGATCTAGTCTCCTTAATCAAACCTCAAAAGTCCTTTAAATGAGCAACATTCTTAAGCCATGAGCACTTCACCTTGGAAATAGCTGACTTGCTGCTAATCATGCACCTGGGAGCAAAGGTTGTTTTACTTCAGACTGGTGAGTTTACACCCTCTTCATTCCCCTGCCCATCAAGCAAGCAAACACTGTCATGACCATCTTGGGCTTCACTTCTACAAGGTCTTCAGGGAGAGCGTACACTCTGGCTCCAATGCGCCTGGCCATTGACACAGCATACCTGTATTTGTGGTTTGGGAAACAGAAATGAAGATGACATTCTTGTCAGTCAAGGAGATGATAGGAAACAGCTGTTTGTTCTCATGCAAAAATTCTATAATTAAAAGTGTTATCAGAATGAGTTCATTTGGGGGTCCAATATCCTCGTTTCCTTTTTCAGTTATGCTGGGCTGTTAGGGTCATTTTCATTCCGCTGATCCAGTATCACATGAGACTTAAGCTTGGAGCGTGGACTTCAGAGGAAAACTCACTGTCATGAGTTGACTCTGACTCATAGTGACCCTTCAGGTCAGGGCCGAATTGCCTCTGTGGGTTTCCGGGTCTGGAATTCATCCCAGGAGTCAAAAACCCTGTCTTTCTTCCGAGGAGTGGCTGCTGACTTCAAACTGCGGTCAGTTGTTGTACTGGGTGGGGGCTTGTGTGCTGCTGCCCTTGCAGTTAGCAGCCTAACTCAGAACCCATGACACCGTCTGGGCAATCGATTTATCAATCTATCGATCTATCGAGCTGTCTAAAAAAAACTATGGAGGAAAGAACCCTGGTGGTGTAGTGGTTACATGTTGGGCTGCAACCTGCACAGTGCGCAGTTCAAAAGCACCAGCAGCTCCTCTGGAGAAAGACTGGGCGTTCTACTCCCATAAATGGTTACCGTTTCAGAAACCCATATAGGGGGTTGTGATGAGTCAGCAGTGACTTGATGGCACTGATTTTATATACATGGATATGAATTTATATGTATATATCCTACATGGTGTCAGGTACAATGCACAATCCTTAATTTACCCCTCCCCCCATTTAATCTGAGTCAATCATTACTGCCCCTATTTATTAATGAGGAAACCGCGGTTCACAGTGAGTTCTCCCGTGATCATCAGTATGCCCCCTTACTTGGCATTATTGTGCTTGTCATCTTCTGTTAGGTTGCCACTCTTCACGAGGTCATAGTTAATGCAGCCAGGCTGGATGGCATCAATTAAATCCACAACTGCCAGACTGGAGCTGATGGTCTTGTCCTAGTGTAAAACGATAACCAATGTGACAATTTTTCCACAGCAATCTTTCATTCCTGATACCAAGGGTCTCAAAGCCTAGGAAATTCCAGTAAGCATCCTGCCTTTAGCTCAACAACAATTCTCACTCCCAATCTGGCTAACGATGGTTCTTCCACACTACGCATGTCTTCAGGCAGGCCTAACGTTCAAGGATTCTTACCTTAAAACTCTGAATGGAAGTTGATTTTCCAGCATCCTTCAATGTTCTGTTCACCCAGTTTACGATGATGTCGTCATTAGCTTTCTGACCCTCTCCGAGATCTTCCAGGACATTCAGGGTGTATCTAAGAGAAAGAAGAGAAGAGGTCACTATCTACCGTCTGAGAGAAAATGGAAATGCGACATTCAATACCGCGCCTGACTCAAGCTGCACCCATGACAACCCCATGAGTTACAAGGTAGCTGCTCCATGAGGTTCGACTCAAAACTCAGTGCCAACGGCGCCATGTGGACTCAGACCAACCAGCCGGGGCAGGGTAGAACTGCCCCTGTGGGTTTCTGAGACGAACTCTTTGCTGGAGTAGAAAGCCTCATCTTTCTCCTGTGGAGTGGCTGGTGGTTTTGCACTGATGACATTGAGATTAGCAGCCCAACATATGCCCATGACTGACCCTCCCTAGGCTCCTTTATAGGGCATCTGTGGTCCTCCTCTTCACAGGAGCAAATTATCAACTGTTCCTTCTGCCGTGATGCTTGATGGGTCAGGCTCTCAACCTTAGGTGGTGCTGGCCTACTAACCACTGGCAGCCGAACATACACTGTGTGCCACCCAGAGACCTACATTGTTTTACCTTCTGTTTCTTGTTTCTTAGGTTGAAAGGTGAAAGATTGTATCCAGTAGTGTCTTGGCAATGTGCCCTTGGCAAGGATGACAAGATTTGTGCGTGTGTGTGTGAGATGTTCCCTCCCACTTTAAATTTTATTATTGTCGAGCACACATACAGCAAAACACACATCAATTAAGCAGTCTGCTCGTGTACCAATGCTACTGATGGCACTCCTAAATTATACCGTCATGCTCACGTGCTTTTCAGGCTTACTACCCCCCACACACACCCGCAACACAAATTCGCTGCCTCCCAAAGTCCTGAGCTCATCTTTCCAGGGGTTCTGGACAATTTGATCCCATATGGGTAGTTCTTACAAGAGCATAATGCTCAAGGCAGGCCTTTTTATTTCCTTCCTCTTACTCTAAATTCTTCACTTTTCAGATGATTTTAGGGTAAGGTTTCGAGATGCTCTCAGAGCAATGGTTTCAGGGGTTCATTTGATCTCCATGGCTCCACAAAGTCGTGAGTCCTCGAGTATTTGAAATTCTCTTCTTCCTTTCCCCACCTTTGAGCCGGATTCCTCTGGCTTCACTGAGCAACATGGTCAGTCATAATAGCCAGTTCTTCCCAGTCTCACGGCCCAGGAGGCAGCTAGCTGTCCGCAGAGGCAGCTAGCCATAGAGGCCAACTCTTCCTCTTCTTTCTGACTCTCCTTATACTTCTGTTGGTCCAGGTGACTAGAGACCCACGGATATGCCTTCGGTGACTGCTTCCAAGCTTGTAAGATCCAGGCAGTATACAATGTAATAGGAAGCAGAACAAAAACACGTTCTTAGGCTAAATACATTGGGATGCTCCATGAGGTAGTTAGTTTATTGTGCCAACCTGGCCGATAAACACATGTGGGGTTAATTGGAGGGTGGAGGGATAAATGGCTTGGTGAGCCTCGCCTTACAAGTTCTTCGGTCTCTTGCTTTGTGATAGTTGGACCAGGGTGCAGCTGCCTTAGACAGCTCTCTGCTTCAGCTGGCAAGGCTCACTTCCTGCAAGACACCCCCAAGGAAAAGCCGCATGAGCCTACCCCGATGCAGCCCTGGGTGCTGGAGCAGCCGTGTCGAGACCCCTGCTAGCACTAAGATGCTTACACATTCACTGATTCGGCTTTCTTCCTGTAGTCGGCATCAATGAATCTGTTGTGTGAGATGGAGGAGGACTTTGTGGATTGGTGTTGGACATATGGGTTAATGCTGGACTTGTGGGCTTGGGCAGCACTGGGTTGGGATGTTTTCTTCATGTGCACTTACCCTCTATTTAAAACTCTCTCTTATACATGAGTTTCTGTAGATTTGTTTCTCTAAAGTACCCAGACTAACACACTCCACAACCCCAAACTTCAACACCCACAGATACTACTGCCATTGTTGATCTTGCAAAAATATCTATCATACCACTTTTGCCAATGCAGCTTTGTATAATTTACTATGACAATAGCCAGCTATGCAACCCTACCCTCAATCCATGTGTTATTTCTATCATCCTAACACCCCCTCCCCCTTCCTTCCACCCCAGGTAGCCACTAAATAAACTTTGGTCTCTATACATTTGCCTTTTCTTGCCTTTTTACATAAGTGAAATTACACGGCATTTATCCGTCTGTGAGTGGTTTGTTTTGCTCAGCACCATGCCTTCAAGCGCCATCTCCACTGTAGGCTGTATTCAAACTTCATTGCTCCTACAGCCACTGCGGGTAAGAGTCGGGACTCCCAACCACAAGACCGTCCATTCAAACCACCAACTGCCCCGTGGGACAAAGATGAGGCTTTCTGCTCCCATAAAGATTGACAGCCTCAGAAATCCTGTCCACTCCGTGTGAGAATGGACAGCAACGGGTTTGTTTGAAAGCGGACTTCAGAGCAGAAACAAAGTCAGCTTCAAAGCGGCAGTCATGCATCGTGGATGTGTATTTTAACCACTAACGGTTACTCACACCAAAGGATAAGACTTTGAAGACCAAGAAGCTCGGGAGAGGGGCAAGGAGAGGTGAGGCATAGGGGGATAGTGAGGGGAGGGTGTGCTTGAGAAATATAAAGAAGAAACGAACCACATCTCTAGGGGGAGGGGTTTTAAGCGATACTATTACTAATTCGATTTGATGAGCTGAGCTGTGCAACTACACAGAATGATGGTTTTTTTTCCCTTTAAAAAAGCAAATACATAAGCCAATGAAGTTAAATTAAAAAATAAAAGAGTCGAAGGCTGCCTGCCTTAAAACCCCTCCAGACGCCTTACACCTCAGCTCTAAACACTGGTCTGAGCGGCTGTCAAAGGAGGAAGAGGCAAACTGAAGTGGACTTGGATTCTCTGGTGACATACAAGTTCATTTCAAACAAATGAAAAACAAAAGCAGGTCACCTACGTATATTACAAAGCAGCTTTAAGAAATACAATTGTGTACCATACCTTCTCATCAGTTGCCAGACTAAAGCTAAAGTCAGGGTTTGGTTGCCATCATTCAGGTCTTGACCTCCAATGCCAACCAGGGAGAATTTGGCAGGATGCTTCCCCAACTCGACAGCATAGTTGCAGTTTTCCAGCTACAAATACACAGAAGGAAAGGGTTGCAGATTGTCATTTGTGTCATTTGCACACAGTCATTTGTGTGAGTGATGCGACGTGATCGGGACAAAATAAATAATTTAGAAGATAACAGTTCCTGTCCTCAAGAAGCTCAGCGACAAGAGCTTCCAAACAAAAACAGGTTGAGAACTCTGGGGTGCACTTTAACATTGGCACTCAAACCTTCCCGCCAAATGACAGGCTCACAGGAAAATTACTATCACCCGTGAGGACTGTGCTCTTCAAAATTGTCACGTAAATGAAACCAATCATTCAACATTTATCCTGGACTAACAATCGGACCATAAAGGAGAGGAGGGCCAGGGATGCTAAATTAATGGAAATCATGAGAAGGCTGACATATAGTGAAAAATGTAACCAGTATCACTGAACAATACGTGTTGTCATCTTCTTAATTTTTTTGGTCCCAAATATGTAGCTAAGTGAGAACATGCCATACAGTCTCTCACCAGAAGCATAATGAAATACGAAAACAACAAATTGAGAAAACAAACAATACACAGAGCAACACAGTTCTCTACCTTTTTCATGTTGGCTCCAAGTTTCGGGTATGGAGGCTTATTAACTTTGCTCCAATCAACAGGAACTTTAATTCGCTCATATAGTTGTAAGATGACCAGGGCATCTTGCAGGTCACTGACAGATTGAAAAATAACTGCATCAATATTTTCAGAGAGTGGGGTCTTGGCGTTCCTTAAAACTCCATAACACTACGGGGCCAAGCAAAACAGATCTATAGGAACACTCAGATCTTCTTTCTACCGGTGCTGAAAACAGAGCTAAGGGGACCTCATTCACTTCACAGCATTTCTTGAGAGCTCACGGCGAGCAAGACACAATTCTTGAGACTAGGCAGACGGCAGGTAAATCTATAGCCTTACCTTAGAGTCAGAAATTCTGATAGACAAACAGGTACATGGGTCAATCCTTAACTAGGGTGAGAGAGCAACAGGTGGCAGCAAGGGAAAGCCTCTGTGGATTGGTGGTGAGCTTTACGGAGACATGGGCAAAGAACATTCCAGGGCAAGAAGACAGGAAGCACAAAGGCCCTGAGGCATAAGGAATGGTCTTCTTAAGGCATTCCCGGATTTTTGGTTTCAAAACAGAAAATCCGTGCTCCCTAGGGTACTAGGGAGATATTTGTACCTTCTATCACTTAGTCAATAACAATAATTTGGGGTTTGGTATATTTGGCAAATAGTGGTGGAAGGCAGTCCTTAAATCTTTCCAATATAAATACTTTCTACAAACTAACATCTAGAAAACACCTAGAGCTACAATGATGTGTGTAGCACCCCTTCCTGATGTTCAAAAACGTTTAGAACAGCAGTAGGAAGACTTACGCATAGAGATGGTTTACATGGGGGTTCACACCAAGAGAGTTCATCCAGTTACGGAAAGTTCTTTCTTCACGTGTTTCTCCTGTTAAAAATATTCATAGCCTTTATTTTTATACACCTCAGATATGTATCTGCAGTGTCATCCAGACATGAGATTATCTGATCCACTTTATGCAGATCTAAAAGGAGCCCGGGTGGATCCACAGTGATGGGGTCGGCAGTTCAAATCCACCAGCCACTCTGCCACAGAAAGATAAGACTTTCTGCTTCTGTAAAGATTTACAACCTCGGAAACCCTCTGGGGCAGTTCTGCCTTGTCCTGTAGGGTCACTTTGAGTTAGGAACCACATTTTTTAAATACAAATCTAAAATTTTTCTTTGGAATAAATTACTATGCATTCATTCTATCTAGATACATACTTGTCTTTTTGAATTTATGTAAAATAAAATATATAAATACTTATAATCAGTGAAGCCACTTACAGCTTTATGCCCTCTTTTTAGCTTCTCACTAATCCTTCTCCAGCATCTCCCCCAAATCCCGTATCTGAACACAACTGCTGCGAAGTTTCATCTTTTAAACGGGTCTATGTTTATATGAGCCTCAATCACATGCTTCCGCTTTATCTCGTTTTTTTACCATTTGAAAAACATTTGCTGAAAATCCATATACCTTCGATGAAAAACTCGGATTGCTCCTTTAACAATCCTATGTTACAAGAACAAATTACCGGAAACTTCCAAAGCATGAAAATGTGAAGATTTTAGAGTCATGCCACTGGACACCCAATGAACTAGCTGCATTTGCTAATTGTAACATATTCTATTTCGTGTGCATAGACTCTGCAAAAGGAAATGCTGCCTTTTAAAAACTGACATAACTCATTGCCATCGAGTTGATTCCAATGCACACCAACCCTATCTAGGGTTTCTGAGACGGTAAATGTTATGGAAGCAGCCAAACTCACTCTCCCACGGAACAGTTGGTGGATTTGAACCATCAACCTTACGGGTAGCAACCCAAGTAGTGGCTCGCCCACAGCGCCATCGGGGCTCCTTAGTAGCCACCACGTATTGTTATTATTTGAGGAGGTCTGAGAGAAAAAAGTCAGGGTTTATTCCATTCGCTCTGACTGTAGAAGAATGAAGTGTGTGTATGTGTGTGTGTGCTGTGAATGTATAGGTCAAATCTTAGGCATATGTAAATTTTTTAATTTAAAAAGTAATAAAACCCATAAATCCTAAAACACAGCAAACCACTCGTTTACTAAATTGTCCTTCCATCAAGTGACCAGTCATCTCTTTCTATCTACTCATCACATCATGTCTACTTCTGGCCGATGTTTGCTGAAGGCAGCTGGAGAGGGAGTCCTAGGCAGCCAGGACTGTGAAACCCCCCTCGAAGTCCACCGCCACGGAACTGGAAGGATCTTTGATTACCTTCTAACAGAGTCCAGTCAATATCCTGATTCTCAGGCTTGGTTAGTGCCGGATATTTATTAAACAGGTTAGCCACAAAGGCTAAATTCAGCTTGGGGTTTCCACTGACAACATCAGCGGGGGTAACGAACTGTCTGCACCCTAATTTGTCTGCTTGTTGGAGCATACTCTCAGCTCTCTTCAAATCATCCGTTTCCTGTGGAAGTCAAATAAGAAGACATTTTTAAGAGGCCATACTAAAAATACAGAAATGTTTCCCTTCAATGATATGCTAGATAAACGAGTCTATTTTCTTTTTGCCAACATATGGTACTTATTATAAAATTCTTGTGAACGCTAAAAAAAAAAAAAAAGCCGAAAGGAAAAAGTAGCTATGCAGTACTTTGAAAATACCGTAGATGGCGCCAAATCATAGTTCTAACTACAAAATGCGTTTAACTCAAAGAGGGTTGCGTTTATTATTCTCCAGTGCCCAAATGCAGCAAGGACGAACAAAAAAGTTAAGACTCTTCAGAATTGTAAATTAGGCTGCGAATTAGGTGTAAGACTGAGAAAGTGTAAGGGCACTGGAAAATAAGGGGCATATATGAGCAAAGAGTCAAGAGTTATACAGTGCGTGAGGATGACTGAGGCAGCTGGATGATGGTGGAAGCCCAAGTTTAGGGGCATGCAGAGTAATGGGAAACATTGGCTAAGAGTGATAGGAGTCCTTACATGATGCAAACAGTTGGTGATTCAAGTCTTCCTAGAGATGACTTGGAAGAAAGGCCTGGCAATCTACTTCTGAAAAATCTGTCATTTAACCCACTTCTATTCTGACACCCAAGGAGTTGCCCCAAATCCCAGCTGACTAGACAACATCTGGTTTAGGAGTGTTAGAGCAAAAATGAGTGTAAGGCCCTAAGTGCTAAGCAGAGCATTGTAAACAGAATTCTAGTGGCACTGTGGGATTCTGAGAAGCATTCTGAGGGGGAAAAAAGAAATAAAAGTGTATTTAAAGAAGGAAGGACACTCAGGGAGGAATGACTGGAGAATCAGTAGGGTGGGTGCCATTTACCTAGGCACAAGACCCTTACTGCACAGGATGGGGCCCTGATACCAACCAAGAGTCTCATGAGCCCAAGAAGCTTACTATACCGACCGAAACACGAGAGCCCAAGTTAGTTATAGATTCAATACTGGAAGGGGCAATGCAAGCGGTTTAGCCAGTAAAATCCATTCGATCCTGCTGTTTAATAGGCTAGGTCATTTGGTTTTCTTCACTATGATTAGGCTGCATTCCATATCTGGTTGTCAAAATAACCACAGAATCATAAAAACTTAGAGTTGGAGGGAAATTAATTGTCTAGTCCAATTTCTTAACCTCACAGATGAGCAATGTGGAATCCAATTTTGAACAGGCACTTGGTCCAAAGTGAACAAAGAAAGTAGTGATATATAACCAAGACACAAGATCAATGACAGTGGTCCCCCATATTGGAATTCATGGATCAGGAGTTTGTCAACCTATTGACACTATCCCCGAGGCAGGAATAGTAGAGCTGCATTTATGAATGAATATATATATATACATATGTATATTAAATCTATGACTGTGATTATATTCCAAATACTTAGAAAAGGTTAATCTCTAAAGAATACTTAACATTTCATTTTGTCTTCACTTGTCTTAGAGATGGTTTGACTATTTTAAGCCATCATATAAACCATTAAGATATTATTAAGGAGTTGATTAATAAACTATCAAAATTAAGCAAATATTTCTGCTTCTTAATTACATGTATAGTACATAATAGTTTAAAAAGGGATGCTTGGAAAGCACTGAAAACAATGCTTACAAACAGTCAACACCGTTGAATACAATGAAGGTATTCTTTTAGTGGTAACAAATCGACATCAATTTTATAAGACCGTAGAAATGAAAGGCACACTTACGTTGAAGCCCGCCATGCTAATATCTATCCGTGGTTCACCTTCCTTTTGTCCTTTGGGTGCAATTTGGTTGAGAAGATGGAAATAGGCTTTGGAATCCTACAAATGAATGACAGCTGTCAGTGACATCACATTTACAAGGAATGAATGTGCCCTATTGCCCCATATTTGGGAGGGTATTTACATCGGATTCTCAGTGACTGTAAGGAAAGCCCATCAAGGTGGCCAACGCTCTACTTCCAACAGGGAGAAATTGGGATTTGCGACAACTTTGCAATGTAACAATGTTATCAATATAATAATGCTTTTAACCCCCACACTAGTTCTGTACCTTCACTGAATTACTGAAGTCAAGGAGCTTGATAGAGAAAACAAGCAAGAAAAAGAGAGCAGGCCCGCAAAAATCCGGGAAGCATGAGGAAAACAAACAAACAAACAAACAGGTTATATCATCACAAAGCACTAGATAGACCAGAACCTTTGTCCAGGATGAATATAAGTGACAAAATTATTGAAATGAAGAGCATTTTTAACTGGAAAAATGACATTTAACTCTTTGTGAAGTTGAAGATACACAAGAAAACAAGCTTTTGCTTTTCCTGTTTAAAAGCTACAGAACTCTTTTATCACTTGACAGTTTACTTGGAATGCCAAGAGGTCAAAAGCAAGGTGGAGGGGAGATGAGGTGTGGTGGGGGTGGGGGGATTTGGGGTGTGGGTTACGTGTTGGGCTGCTGTTTGAATTCACCAGGAGGAAGATGGGGCTGTCTGCTCCCATGAAGATGTACAGCCTCAGAAACCCACAGGGGCAGTTTGACTCTGTTCAATTGGGTCTCTGTGAGTCAGATTGGACTCGGATGGCAGAGGGTTTAGTTTGGAGGCTCTACAAAAAACAGCTTGAAAACCTCACAACTGCCAAGTCAATGCTCCCTCTGGAATACAGAAGAACAGGAAACGGACGGGTCAAAAATCCCTAACCTGCCTTTATGCGGTATGAAGACCTCCTTGCCAGTTAAAATAGTTTTCTATTTCTAGGCCTTGAAAATCTGGACAGATTACCAAGTGTACTAGCCTCTACACTGCGAGAATGTCCTCAGTATGCGGATTACTGGTTCCAACCCCAGAGCTGCTGGTTCTGCCCAAGAACTCTCAAGGATGATGCATCTTCAGCAAGTTGAGACCCAACGCCATCAGTAATTCTTAAAACTTCACAACCATTGAGTTGATTCTGACTCATCGTGACCCTGTAAGATGGGGTAGAACTGACTCTGTGGGTTTACCGAGACTTTCAATTCTTTTTGGGAGTAGAAAACTTCATCTTTCCCCCTCAGAGTGGCTGGTGGTCTCAAACTGCTGACTCCGAGCTTAGCATCTTCATGTATTACCTACTTTGCTGCCAGGGCGTGGAAATCATTTCAGAACAATCCATGAAATGCCAATTCAAATCCTACCATCGGGAAGCACAGGGGCTCTCCTTCTCAGGGACAGTGGACGGCAGTTTCAAGACTCGTAACCTCATGCTATGCTCTTGAGACAAGTAGTTAAAAAGCAACCCCAGCAGCAGTCAGCCATACACGCCCCGAGAGAAGACTGACAGCAGAAAACGGGAAAGAGGATAACTTGGAAGTTACTTTTCAGATTCTTAGCCAATCCTTCGTTTAAAAAAGGGGGAAAAAATCCAAAGCAGAGCGTGAGGAGAAAGTTGTCAATGTCTTCTGATCATCCACAAAGACGCACAATCACTTGTGCTATATTCTGAGGAGCTGTGGTTGGCTGTAGATCCTCAAGGTTGTCCCTTGTGCCCCAAACATCAGGATTTTAGAGAGGATTCCGTCAGTGATTAGGGTGTCACAATTATTTGCTATGGTGATTTTGGCGATCTATCCGAGGGAGAAAGAAGAGGCTTTCGACCCACTTAATGAGTTTGAGTCACGGAAAGTCACAGGGCGCAGTTCCCCTCTGTGCTGAAGGGTCGCTAGGACTCAGTGTCCACAGGATGGCAGAAAGTTTTATCCATGAGACAAGGCGGCCTGCTGGTGCTAATCACAAGGCAGACAGTTTGAACCCACCAGATACCCTTTGAGAGAGACTGGAGGCGGGCTGCTCCCGGAAAGGTCTAAAAAGCCTTGGAAACTGTACACAGGGGCAGTGGGTTAGACCTGCAAAGGCAAAGGCAGCCTGTGGTGAATGGAAGCCCCCAGTGTCTCCCTCAGTTGCTGGTTTCTCTACTGTTTGTAGTAAGCAGTGAGCACATGGAGTGAGAGACTTCTTGCCTTCTATTCAAGAGACCTGGATTTGATCTCAGTTGATGCACCTTATGTGTAGCTACGATCCTTCTGCCCATGAGGCTGGCACGTTCCTATGAGGTTGGAGAGGTTCCAGATTCGTTTCCTGATCAAGGGTGAACAGATCAGAGACCTGTTTTTGAAAGGCGGCTAATTAAGACCCCGTGGCTCACAAGGATTTGATTAACAATCAGTCACTGAGATGGCACAGGGCTGGGGAGCATTTTGTTTTATTTTGCAAGGGGTAGCCCGGCGTCAGGACAATGGGATGCCAGCCAAGAAGGAGAACATGTGTGCGCCAGAGACTGTGTGAGAAATAGACTCCAGTGGGACAGCATCAGGCCAAGGGCTGAAGTAGAAGACCTAGACCTAAATAGGGCCTCATTACCAACCTCAAAAAAACTTCACATTTAGAGCAGGGCGGGGAGGTGGGGGCGAGGCTGTCCAGCCCATGGACCACATGAGGCCCACAACATCATCAACACCAGCTAACATCGCATGCCTCACCAAAGAGATGCACTTCCAGTCATCACAATTGGAATTAAATGTTAGACCAAATTAATTAATTAATTAGATGTTTGACCAAATAGATCAAGCTATTTTTGTAATTATCAAGAACAACTATTTATTCATGCTCACACAGATTTTACACGTTAAAAATGTGAATAGAAGTGGTCTTACTTCTCTGAGCCCATTCTTTTTAGACTTATCAAATAGGTTCCACACTTTTTTTTAAAGATCATTTTATTGGGGACTCCAACAGCTCTTATAACAATTTTTAAGTTGATAATTTGTATGGTCCATGAATGATGTTAAAGATCAAATGGCCTTTGGCAGAAAAAAAGGTTCCCTACCCCTGATTAAAAGGTTGGCAAACAGGCCAGGAAGGAAACCAAACTGAATGGTGAATAGGAATATTAAGGCTTTTCTTCCCTCTTCTAGGGCTTTAATAGCGAGTATACTTAGGCCTAGCAAAGGCAGTTCGGAATAGAATAACCACTTCCCATATTTTTAAATTCTAAGTTCAACAATGGGTATTATGTGAAAGTTACGACTACAATAAATACTTCAATACTTTCCTACAAAAAGAAAGATGTGGAGAACTTGTGCCTCTTATATGGCTCCAATGCTTTCCTGAAATCCACCCATAGGGGCCAAGAGTAAGGTAACCAGAGGTCTCACTTTTGGGGGGAAAGTTCAGATTTGGGGCATTTTTAAAAAGTCCCGATTTTTGGAAAGAATGCACGACAAGCTATGGAACGGTCTACTTGGTCCACATAGACCAAATTTTTAATCAAGAACACCCCCTGCCCTGGTCAATGGTGTCCCGCTTTAAATCTGGTCACCTTAGCCAAGAGCCCTCAAGGCTTGGCAATATAGGCTGTTCTTTCTGTTCAGGGGGCTGAAATATCCCACACCAGGCTTTAACCAGCCCCACCAAATATGATTCTTTGCGTGGTTACCTTGATGTCAGCACTGAAATTGTTGATTTTTTGCCAGCCTGAGTTCTCCAAATGAAAGTTTGCCCATCGAAGCAGAAGCTCTTCTGGAGATAATTTCATAAGCTCTTCTAAAGTCTCACCATCTCGAAGTAAAGCGGCCAAGGCTGTGAGGGGGAAAAATCCCACAATCAATGTCTATGATATGATAATAGTCATTGCAGGCCCATGTTGTCTCTGAAACCTACTTATGACACAATTGCTGGTTTCAAGGTGCTTATAATCGAATTGAAAGGATAAATATGGATGGAGCTAATTATAATACAAGATGACACAGACTGGATAATATGAGACTATAAAGCTTATTTATTTATCCTTTTTTATTTCCCAAGCACCAACGAGGCCACAGCATCTAAAAGTTTAAAACTTTCAGATGTTGACAGAAAATTGTCTTACTTTATGATTTTTAAATCATCAAGTTAGTGAAGGATCTGAGGACCATTACCCTTTTGATGAAAGGAGCATCGGAACCCTGACGGTGTTTATAGTTAAGTATAACCAACCTATGAACTCTGGACGGTCCTAAAGAGACTTGAAGAGGAGGAGCATTCAACTTGACATTCTTGGTAGCAACTAATATCTAAAACCTGCTTAATAATTCTTGCTGTTATGGAATTGACTGTGGAAGAATTGAAGAGTTTTTTGTTTTTTTTTGATGACCATTTCCATAGGTGGCAGGCAAAAAGTTTGGGTGTTTGCACAAAGAGCTGTCTAAATATAAGCCTTGTTTTAAAACAAAATGTATCAACTGCTTATGCTACAAAATGCAGCATAAAAAAATCCTTATGCAGTAATTCCCTTCCATAAACTGTAGGGAGATTTATAATAAGTAAGAAGACTGAAGTTGGCAGATTTATGAAGAGCGCCAAGGGATCCCCACATCAGATACACACCATGTCTGCAGGGTTCTGCTTCATATAGTGGCCTTTTGACACTCAGGGATTTACCCCATAGTAGAGGCAGCATGGCTCTCTCTACAGAATCTTCCCTCTGCTCCCTTTCTGCACCAAACCAGAAGCTAAAAAGAGTTAAACAGCCTGCTTCTTGATCCCCAAGACCTTGCCAAAGAAAAAAGCTTTATAAGATACAAGCCAATGTCCTTTTTCCCCCTCCCTTCCTTTGTAAATTGACTTCCATTCCTTTCAGAAGCCACCCACCCTTGTCAAGAAGGGTAACAACAAGAATAATTTTGCTGTTTCTCTCAGAAGTAAGACCAAAGTACAAAAGTACGCAAGTCATGGAAGTGCAATCCACAAGCTTGATCAGGTATGAAAATGCAAACTAAGGCTGCTGACAAATGTGGTGAAACCTTGGAAATCCCGATAGGCCCCAAGATAGGTCTTTCCCCCAAAGGCACTGAGGATTGCAGTGGGGATGCTAGGGACTTTTGCAAGAAAATCTGCTCTGGGGAGTGAGTGATGGGCAATCGTTTACACTTCCTAGGGAGAGGATGATGCGCTACTTCCTCGGGCCGAAAGACGCTTGCATCCTATCTGCTTACACAATCCTAGAAATCCATGCTGTGATATATCAAGATCTCTGCTATAAAAAATGGTAACACTTCCGCTGGTTCAGGAAGTGGGACGCCATCAAGGTCAGGTCAGGGGACCTTTGAAGAGGGACACTTAGGAGATGGTGCACCGTGGTGGAGCTGAGGGTGGTGTCAGGGTAAGGGTTGTGTGGGCAGAGCGGAAGAGAATAGACGCCAAGTTTTGAGACTTGGGGAAAATGTATCAACTGCTTTGCTACAAAATGCAGCGGAAGGTGCCAGATAAATGTTAGTTAATACTGCAGAGAAAGTTTATAATTAGGCTGTTTGCCTGACTAACACTATAACATTCATTACCCTGTGTTAATTCTAGTGATCATCCAATTCAGTGGAAGCATAGCAGCCTGGATGACTGGAGGAAGAAAAGTAAGCGATAAACAACTTTTAACATAATGACGATTCCAGTACCTTCATTCCGGCTTAATTCAATGTCAGCAAACAAGCCGATCTTAATGATCTGCCAAAGGAGTCCCAAAACCAGATGAGGCTTCCCAGCCCGTAAATCCTCAGCACCGATGTTCACAACGTGACACCCAATGGCAGAGGCAGAATTCAGTGCCAAGTTCAAGTTTTCCTGCAAGACAGCCAAGTTATACACTTGTGTTTGACCTTTCCATCCTCCAGCCCGTCTCCTTCTCCCTTCACTGGAAATAGCACTCAATGAGGAAATTCATGTCCCGTATGTATTCATTTCACCCATAAACGATCCATGAAAAACATATTCCAGACTTTAGTTGTACAAAACACAGCTAAAATGAACCCCAGCCTTACTGCTATTGTCTCCCGCAGAATTCCATGGAAAGCTAACTTCATAGGCTTCTTTGGTCCCTGACACTGAAGGAAAAGGCTTAGGGACTAGAGGACCTATACCCTTGTGGGTAACCTGCCATAATATGGGAAATACTGAATCAAACCCATGACCCTGGACTTAATTCTCACTCACGGTGACCCTGTAGGACAGCCTACGACAGCCCTGTAAGAGTTTCAAAGCGGCACGTATCTTCAGAAACAGACTGCCACAGCTTTCTCCCTAGAAGCAGCGGGTGGATTTGAGGGGCCAACTTTTCTATCAGTAGTTCAGTGCGTAACCACTACACGAACAAGGTTCCTTATTTCTAAAAATACCTCATGCCAATATTAACAAGGGACTTCAGAACGTTTGTGTAAGAGTGCAATGAAAAGATAATGGCGTGCTTCGTCCATGCGGGCTTTGTTGCTTCTGAGGTAGATGGCTGCTTGTTTACCTGCAAGCCTTTAAGACCCAAGATGCTATATTTCTTGATAGTCAGAAGGGATCAGGTATCAGGCATCAAAGATAAAAAAATTACATCATTGTGAATGAGGGGGAGTGCAGAGTGGGGACCCAAAACCCATGTGTAGGTAACGGGACATCCCCTTACAGAAGGGTCGCGGGGAGGAGACAAGCCCACCAGAGTGCAGTATAGCAATGATGAAACATACAACTTTCCTCTAGTTCCTAAATGCTTCCTCCTCCCCCACTATAATGATCCCAATTCTATCTTACAAGTTTGTCTAGACCAGAGGATGTACATTGGTACAGATAGGAACTGGAAACACAGGGAATCCAGGACAGATGATCCCTTCAGGACCAGTGGTGAGAGTGGCGATACCGGGAGGGTGGAGGGAAGGGGGGTAGAAAGGGGGAACCGATTACAAGGATCTATGTATAACCTCCTCCCTGGAGGGTGGACAACAGAACGTTGGTTTAGGGGGGTGTTGGGCCGTTTTAAAATATGACAAATAATAATAATTTATAAATTATCAAGGGTTCATGAGGGAGGGGGGAGAGGGAAGGGAAGGGAAAAAATAAGGAGCTGATACCAAGGGCTCAAGAAGAAAGCAAATGTTTTGAGAATGATGAGGGCAACAAATGTACAAATGTGTTTGACACAATGGATGTATGTATGGATTGTGATAAGAGTTGTAAGAGCCCCCAATAAAATGAATATTAAAAAAAGAAAAGATAATGCATTTTTTTCCCATGGACTTTTGGAAACCTCCTGGTGGCACAGAGGTTATGTGATGGCCTGTCCACTTGTCCACCTCCAGCAGCTCCTTGGAGAAATAACTAGGCTTTCTACTCCCACGAGGAGTTAGTTTCTGAAACCCACAAGGGTAGTGTTACCCTGAAATGACTCACTGGCAGCGAGTTTGGAGTTTTATTTTGGTATTACATACACCTGAACAAGTTCCAGAAATTATCAATATTCCTATTCCACAGGGTGATCCTCCCCAAGGGAATTTAGTTCTCTCATTGTTTAATAATCACTCGAGGGAAATGAGGGAAAACAAAAATGTTCTACAACTTAAGCATGCCATAGTTAAGTATGTCTGTACCATTTGAACACTGGACTATGTCACGAAAAGAAACAGGACACAGGAGTGCGATCTTGATCGGCACTTCAGTCCCAACATTCACGTTGAGCTCGTACAGAAAAACCTTCTTGAGTTTCAGCCTTTTTCCCTCGATAATATCTAGACATTACTGCCAAACTCAGAGGTGTAATGAAGATCAAATGAGACCACAGTTGATGTGATCCGTGGAGCGGCTTCCCAAATAGAAGTTGCCTGGGAAGGAGTAAGCACCGTACCTGAATAATGAAGGGTGTAAGTTTCTTCTTGTTGATTGCTCTTTCATCAATTGTATCGGGAACGGAAAGGTTAATCATTTTACTGAAACAAAGAGGAATGATAATGAGTCCATTTGTTTTCAGAAAAGCCTGCAAATATTCACAAATACTTTTTCAGAATTAGAACACTGCTCTCATGTAACTGGGGAAAACGTTGATGTAATACATGATCTCCTCTCATGTTGATCAAGGATCCCTGGTGGCATAGTGGTTACATATTTGGCTGCTAATTGCGAGGTTAGCAACTCAAAATCACCAGCTGCTTCGCAGGAGAAAGAGGAGACTTTCTACTCCTATAAAGACCAATTCTTCCCTGTTCTCGAGGGTGGCGATGAGCCAGAATCAACCAGATGGCTGTGAGTGATCAGGTGACCACACATACGCAAGTCCACCACAAATGAAAAGCATAGTTTTTAAAAGTCTACAATATTTAGAATAGTTGGGCATCCCTGAATAGGGAGGAGAGCATTCATTCCATTCTCATTTTAATTTGAGGAGAACTTTCATCGAGATAAAATAACTTGGATTCCTAAAAAAAAAAATCAGCTTTACTGAATACATATTTTAAAGACAAAATTCTACAGGAACACTTGAAAATTGTAGATGACACAATGCACAATTACAAAGGGCTATTTCTTCACAAAGAGGTAAACTTAGTTGAGCATTTGAATTTTTTCATTCACCAAGTATTTACTGATAAACCCAGACACTATATTTGGGGCTCATGATACAGCAGGGAGAGAACGGAAAGTTATTTTAGTTATGTTCCCATCTATGACCCTATTAGGAAGAATCTGATTTGCTAAAATTGGGAGTGAGTCGCTAACACTTTAGATATTCCTTTATAATACTGCCCTAGAAAAGTTTATTAGGCAGAGGGAAAAACATGTTTCTTACTGTACAAAATTTAATTACCAAATAAGTAATGCCAGACAATGACCTATCTTATTACAATACCATGGGAAACTATGGTTTTAATAGCTTATAAATGGACAAAACAAGAGGAGCATCTCATATTTATTTTTCAAATAGTTTTTCAGACTGCCAAAATAATTTCTTTTAAGAAAATTGTACACATTTCATATTGTCATCTGCAATATATATATAGTGCCCTGTTTTATGTACTTTCTATGTAGTAACAATGCTCACAGCAGCTTTGGGAGGTAGATGCAATAAAATGCAGATCATAAGAGGTGTGAAAATGGGAAGGGTTGCTGGCATATCTTCGATGGCAGTTGTATAGCTCTTGAGTGGCCAAGACTGAATATGACTCTCTCACAAGCAAACTCAACTCCTTGCCATCAAGTTGATTCCAACCCAAAACAAGCTTGAATCAGATTCTTTGAGGCTATACACCTTTATGGGAGCAAATAGCCCCAACTCTGTGCCTTTGGAGTGACTGGTGGGTTTGAATCACTGACCTTGTGACAAGCAGCTCAATGCCTAACCCACAGCAACACCCGGGTTCCTTAATACGAACCCAGGCAGACTGACTATGAAGCATTCTCTTAAGTCTTGTGCTGTATGAGTTCTATGCATGAGAACATCGACTGGCACACTGTCGATCTAGCATGTCTGCCAAGATACTGTTGGCTCTAGGGCAGTAGTAGCTAGCCGAAAAGCATTTGTGTGAGTAGGTCATTAGTAGTCTTGTCTGTCCTACTTTTTGGAAGGCACCATACTCTAGAAGAAATATATACTGATACATTTCAATTCAACTTAGCCTTACTCTTCTGAGAGTCAGTGATGAGAAGAAATTAGAAACAGAAGAGAGATTCCCTGTTAAGTCTCCAATGGACAAGAATGAGTTTTAGAGTCACCTTCAGAGGGTGCTTTCGAAGACAGACCCAGAGATGAAATTTAATAGAGAGAACCTGGCCAAGAGTCAGTCCAAATCATTTCCTGAGGTGAAGCTGGTTAGTCTCCAGAAACAGGTTGCAGCAAATAGGTAGAAAGCAAAGCCTGGAAATCTGGCTATAAAGTAAGCTAGCCTCTTACCAAAGCACAATTCCGTCACCGACAGCTTTGAACAGGTCATCAGTATTTGGGTTCATCGGTATAACATGCCTGCAATCGGGATCATTTTCCAGGGCTTTGTTTATCCAGTTAACGAAAGCATATTTTTCTTCCTCTACAATGAGGTAGAGTAACAAGGAAATGGTTACATTCGATTAAACAGTCGGCAGCAGTGCTGACAGTTCGATGTGGGTCATGCGGCGATCTCCTTGGGAACTCCGGATCTCTGAGTACACGGACAGTAGGTAGTAAGCATCACAACAGTGACGAATATAATGGAGCGGGGTTAACTGCCCCTTCAAGGAGTTAGTGCAAAATTATCTTCCAAATACATTTGTATGATTGCAGAACTCCACTGTAATAAAGCTTATCAATGCCCATATTTGTGCAGTATGGGTCCCCAAAGCTAACAAAGTGGACTGAAATATACATGCAGAAGGTACTGAATAGGAGAATGTTTTGTTGTGTATATTTTCCCCACAGATAAAAATAATAATTACACTACGAGTGAGTACAAGGAAGAAAATTTACTAAAATTGTTTGTGATAATGACTATACAACTCTCCTTGACATGGCTGAACTATTAAATTGTATGATATGTGGCACTGTATGGGGAAAACTATAAAGCCACACAATAAAGCATCTCTACCGCATTTATGGCCAGGTAGTTTCAAATACAGGTTCTAAAGGAATATTACAATAGTCTTAGTAAAGGGAGAAATGTTACTCAAGAGACCGACTTTGCCATTATAGTACCCACCCTGCTTTGTTCCATGTGCCCGTTCTTTTTTTTTTAATCGTTTTACAACTCTGATCACAATCCGTACATACATCAATTGTGTGAAGCACATTTGGACATTCACTGCCCTCATTACTCCCAAAACACTTCCTCTCCACTCAAGTCCCCGGCATCAGGTCCCCATTCTTCCCCTCTCTCCCCGCTCCCCCCTCCCTCATGAGCCCTTCACAATTAACAAATTATTATCTTGTCATATCTTGCCCTGTCCGACGTCTCCCTTCACCCACTTTTCTGTTGTCCATTCCTCAGGGAGGAGGTCACATGTAGTTCCTTGTAATTGGTTCCTTCTTTCCAACCCACTCTCCCAGTATCGCCACTCACACCACTGGTCCTGAAGGGATCATCCGCCCTGGATTCCCTGTATTTCCAGTTCCTATCTGTACCAGTGTACATCCTCTGGTCTAGCCAGACTTGCAAGGTAGAATTCGGATCATGATAGTGGGGGCGGGGAGGAAGCATTTAGGAACTAGAGGAAAGTTGTATTTTTCATCGTTGCTACATTGCACCCTGACTGGCTCGTCTCCTCCCTGAGACCCCTCTGCAAGGGGATCTCCAGTGGCCTACTAATGGGCTTTGGGTTTCCACTCCGCACTCCCCCCATCATTCACTATGGTAAGATTTTTTGTTCTGATGATGCCCATACCTGATCCCTTCGACCGTGTGCCCATTCTATTACCTGAGTAAGAATGCTGGGTTCCTTCACTGGACAGCTCAGAAGTGCCTCCAAGAGCACAGATGCCTTCTTTCCTGTTAATGGCCTTGCGGAAGGTTTTGGCAATATCACTGCTCTTCACCTCTTGGAAGATCTATTGATTCAACGATATTGTGGATTCACAGTTAGTATTGAATCAGGCATGACAACAGGCATCTTTGGTTAGACCGTGTGCTCGCTTACATACCTGCCCAGCCCCCGCCTTAGGTGATGCGTGTTACAAGCCATGAAAAACGTGTCTTGACTTTTTGTGAAATGCCACACAAGATCTATAATGCTGTTACTGACAATTGAAGCACCAGCTAGTCAATTGCACACACCTTGTCAAAAACATTAAGTGCTACATGCATGGGATCCACTTGATGCCAAAGAGCTAGTGGGGTTTAAAGGCATGTGTCAATCTGTTCATTTTCTAGGAACACGGAAGGGTTGTTCTTTTTCTGGGGAGAAAAGGCCAAGGACTCTCCCTTCGTGAATAACAATTCTTAGAACAGAAAGAGAAAAGTACAAGAGTGAACCAGAATCCCACTTTGGGATGTACTGAGGTCGCTCCGGGGAGAGGCTGTTGAATTGAAAGTTTTGTAGATAATGAACGTGAAAAACATGTATCAAGTCGCCAGCAATGGAGAAATGGCAACAGACACGGAAAAGAACAAGCACGTACACAAAGTGGCTTTTGAGTGCTTATCTTGTTTGGCTGTTTGTGAAGTTCAGCTTTTCATCACAAGGAAGAACACGGTTGATAAAAGGAGTTTGTATAAGCCAAAGTTTTCAACAAAACGAATTCCACATTCTAGCATAGAACCTTTCTAGAAGCAATGGACATTCTGTAAGTCTTATTTATGTTTAATTCTAGAATTTATCTAACCTCAAATTTGTTCCTAATCTACCAATGTATTACAGTGTTCTTTTGGCAACTGGAGATGGTTCAAGTAGCCACCGCTGGTGAAACAGGAGCAAGATGTAGTAACTACACGAAACTTTCCTCCAATGGTGTTTGTTGCTGTTATGTTAGGCACCGTTGAGTCGATTTGCACCTCACAGCAACCCCATGTGAAGGAGTAGAAGTGCCCCATCTTTATGGGAGTAGATTGATGGGCAGTTTGGACTCACCAACCAACTCCATGGGTCAAAGATGAGGCGCTCGACTCCCGTAATGAGTGACAATCTCCAAAACCCACTAGGGGCAGTTTTACTCTGTCTTAGAAGGTCACTAGGAATCAGAATTGACTGCATGGCAGTGAGTTTCTTCCACAGCCAACCTGTTAGTCAGGGAGTACTTAACCGTGGAGTCACCAGAGCTCCTCAAATGTTGTTCAGAACACCATCGGTGGGGATTTATCCAGAAAAAAATTATGGCCCCGATGGAACAGTTGCTGAACACATGAACAAATGCAAAATAATGCAAAAGCCTTCAGCATTCTTGACAAACGACGACACACACTGGAGCACACAGGCAAACACGTCAGGGCCGGCAGCCTCTGCGTGCGCTGCACAGAGTGGGCCCCGACACACAGCTGGGTGGTTTCCACCTGGTCCGAGAGGAGCTCACATCGCATCTCGGTCCTGCAACACTCACCGGGCCTTGTGGCTTGGACAAGACTCAGTCAAGCTGAAAGGAGTGCCTTTTAGGAAGGAGTCTTCCCTGCAGGGTGCCTTTCTGTAAGGAATCCACCTACACAAAGTTACTTCTCATGGCTGTCCGTGGCCCTGTCAAATGCATCTTTTTCTTGTTATTTTTTCTCAATCCCAACTTGTCTTAGATTTATCAAAGGACAATTTAATTGAGGAAGGCAGTAAGTGTCTACACATAATCCCTGTTCTACTCCCAGAGCTGCGAGTTCATGCTTTCCCTGCCATTTCAGAGGCAAATTTCAAATGTCCCCTCACACGTATACACCAAACCCCCTACATACCACGCATATCACTGAATTCATCCCTATCTTCCTCAAGACCATCACACTGAAATCAGCTCGCCAGTAGTCATGTCCTGCTGCCTCATACACTCCAGGGAAGTATGAAGATATGAAAATGTATTTTTACTTCTAATCTGTTGCTCTTAGTCCAGCTGTAATTTCATTAAGTTGACCTGCGTCTAGGCCAAGTTCATCCACCAAAGTGGTTGCACAGAAAAGTAGTGAAGCCTTAGTCGTGATGCCTTTTGTCCCTATAGTTCCTTTGATAATAATACTTCTGCCTGGTGACAAAGCAATGATGCATTCTCTAGCATATGAAAGGAGCGCACTTATTCAGCATTGACATACCATCAGTCACTAGAAGGGCACACTAATAATACTGTTGCCTTAGAACAATGTGAAAGGAGAATTTTTTCGTTTTCTTTTCTGGCTTAATATCTGCTTTAACTTCACAGATCATTGGCTTCTGGAAACTTGTTCCTGATCAGGAGTCACTGTAGTTGGTCCACGACAGAGTGAGAGAAAAACATGGAGAGCTCAAGTTCTTATTTTTCAACAAAAGGCCAGTAAAACCGACAGTAGAGAACAGAGGACGTTCTGAGACCCTTGCCCTGAGCCGTTCTTTAAAGCTAGAGTCGAGCCAATCCTCTGAGTTCATCTTTTATCGAAAAAGGTGAGTGGCACACAAAAGAAAGGACATTACCAGTAAGGTCACTGGCCTACTTTGAAAACATCAGAATGCAACCAAAAGGTTCACAACTATTCAAAAAGAACAAGATAAGAGGGAAAGGAAACTGGAGTTTTGGCATGGGAGCCGAACCCAGATACAATGTTAATACACTGAGATAAATCCAAAACAAACAGACAGCCACAAACTCACTGCCATCGTCTCAGAGACTCTGGAGGGCAGGGGAGAACTGCCTGGTGCGATTCTGAGACTATAAACTCCCTACGAGTAAAAAACTCGCGTCTTTCTCCCAAAACACTGTGATGAGTGTAACTCAATATCCCTGAGCAATTCGTGTGGAAACTGTCAAACGGGAACTTGACTTGCTGTGTGACCTTTTGCTAAACATTAAAAAAATATTTTTTAATGAAAAAATAGGTTTTTTTCAACAGCTACAATTTCCGTGTAAAAAGAAATGGAAAGTTATAGGTACAGTGGAAATGAGGAATAATTCAAATGCAAAAAAAATAACAACGCCTCTGTTGTGTAATAAAGGCATCCTGGTGGCACAGATGCTGGGTTAAGCCAGATGGTGGCTTTAAACCCATCAGCTGCCCCACCACAGAGAGATGAGGCCATGTGCTCCTGTAAAGATTTACCTCCTTAGAAACCGTACGGAGTAGTTCTCCTCCATTCTAGCAAATGGGCTCAATGGCCGTAAGCTGTCTGTGACACGAATGTAATCACTGCCACAAACTCACAAACTCGCTGCCATCGAGTCCAGTCTGACTCCAAGAGGCTCGAGAGGTCACAGTAAACCTGTCCCTGTGTATTCCTAAGACGAACTCTGTATGGGGGCAGAAAGCCTTATCTTTCCCCGGCGGAGTGGCTGGCCGTTCCGAACTACTGACCTTGTGAGTAGCAGCCCAATGTATAGTCCAATACACTACCCAAAACTCCTAACTTGTGAATGACCTTCAACTTTATACTTAAATTTGTTACCTGTCGATTGTTCTTATCAAAATTACATGATCTTCATGTTCTAAATATTGCAGATTAAGAATGTTGTTGTGTTTGCAAGTATTCAGGTAATTATTGCAGCCCAGCTTAAAGAGTGCTGAAGACTGCCTTCATTCTCGAAGCTGCCCAAGCCCTTAGACAAGCTCCAAGCCCAGCTTTGCGTGCTTGCATCCAACTGTGCTGCGCCTGCGCATGTCATGTTGGTGGCAGCCCTACGTGCTGAAGATCAAATCAACCAAAGTAAGGTTGATGACAACAGGAAACTAGGGGAGTGGGCAGGCCTTTGCAAAACTGACAAGGGAATTAAAACCCTTAAAAGTGTTGGGTTGCAGTTGTGTGGTTGTTGAGGACCACGGCAAGGAGTCTCAGGCAAGGATATCATCAGAGGGTATCTCAAATGCAACATATATATATATGCAAATGAAACTTGGTTCACGCTATAAATAAAAAAAAAAGTCAATGATTTTGATTGCTACTAAATTCATTTACAACATTAGAATGTGTGTTGTGCCTTTTATTTTCTAGTTTAGAAAGGAAATTTCTCAAGCAGATGATCCATTTATTGGTTTATAAGCTTTGGCTTAACAAAAATCTCTGAAATCAGAGATAACACAAGGCCAACTACTGTGCTGGAGTCGCCTCAATGAATCTTTTCAATGTTGCCCATCGTGACACTAATGAGCTCACTGTTTTGTGCTGCCTTTTCTCTCTGAGGACGGGCTTGCTTTATCATCTGCCAGCCAACTCCTGGTAGACAGTTCTCAGGAGCATGCTTCACTCCCTGGTCTCTACACTTTTTTCTCTGTCTTCTATGGAATCTTAGGACTACTTTTCCTTTGAATAAAAGGTTCGTGGCCTTCTTCTCTAGGACCCTCAGCCAGAAGCTAACTCCTTTTGATCCCAGAGTTAGTTCAGTCCAGGCCTACTAGCCAAAGTCATCCTGAGGCATATGACTTTAGCGGCAGAAAATACTTCAGAAAAAATTGCCAAAGACTATTGACTGGCTTCCAGTGTTTGGGGCTTGTTTCTCAAGTTGTTTCCAAAGTAACAGGTTCAAATTTCCCCTTTATTTGGGATTTATTACAGAGCTAATCATAGTAATAACAGGAAGACTGCTTAAACAAATAAAATGAACGACCCCAACAACTATGGATATGCTGTGGGTTCTGAGAATGTAACTCATTAAAGGAGTAGAAGTCTCATATAACTCCTGCAGAGTGGCTGGTGGTAGTTTCAAAATGCTGACCTTTGCCAACAAGACTCCATTCTGTCAGTATTAAACCAAACTCCAAGCTCACTGCCCTTGAGTCCAAAAGTGACCCTGTCGGACAGGGTAAATCTTTACAGGAGTAGCAAACCTCATCTTTCTTCTGTGGAGTGGCTAGTGGTTTAGAACGCCGACCTCAAGATTAGCAGCCCAATGAGTAGTAGCCAAGAACCATTCTGAAGCCTCAAGCAGATTATTCTACTGTCCTCTCAAAACAAAGAAACTAACACACTGCCATCGAGTCAATTCCAACGCCTAGCAACCCTATAGGCCAGAGGAGAACTGCTCCTTTGAGTTTCCAAGACCGTAACCTTTTTTACAGGAGGAGGCAATCTCATTTATGACCTTATACTGCCCTATGGAGGAAGGTCCTCAATAAAAGGGATTGACACAGTGGCTGCAACCATGGGCTTGAGGCTGGCGCAAGACTGGGCAGCGTTTTGTCCTGTTGTACATAGGGTACAAGAGAAAGCACAGGGTCACTTGATGCCACCTAACAACATAGCTTTCCAATTCCTTGAATAGTATGGAGGTTAACATTGTAGAAAAAGCCACTAGTGCTCTGTGTAACGTTAGGCAAGGAACTTCCTTTTTCATGCACTGAGCTCTTTGCTTCTTTTCCCCTTTCTTAATTTGAAAAATGCGTGGAAATATAAGGCTTCCTTAAAATTCTAAAGAAATTTAATAACTCAAACTACCCTCATTAAATTTTTATTTAAAAAATATCTGGCGATGGCAAAATTATTACACATACTCTTTCCTCCATAAACACATACTAAGGTAATAATGCATGCTCACTTGAAAGTCATATACAGCTGTGTAGAAAGGGCAACATTTCAAATACATCATTTTAAAAATTCCCTCTCAAGATTGTTTCATAAAGACACTTTCATATTTCCCCCTTAAGATTATCTGAAATAATCTTAAAAGGTCTAGTAAATTAAAAAAAATTGTGAGCAATCTATGAAATCAAAAGCAACCAATCAGAGTTGACTAGTGCTCTCAGCTGTTTTAAATTCACCATGAAACATGCAGTTATAAGAGGAGCAAGTTATAAACCAGGCATGCAAGTGCTCAAAATTGCAAATCAATTGCAACTTACTATTCAACATAGAATTCAAAACAAAAGGCTTGGCAATAACTGGAGATTAAAAAAAAAGTAGGGGGAACTCAGTATTTCCAAAGACAAAGGCAAGAAGATACTATTATAATTACGACACAAGTCTGTATTTTTAAACAATAACATCCTCACAAAATGCTGTCAGCTGAGCATTAGTCAATTTGCCTCTTAGACACCAACTGCGCTCTAAAGGATTTCATTCTAATTGGAGCAAACATCCCAGCATTTCGCTTGCAATTGTGAACCATGATTACTAAGAGGAGTAGCTGGTGGGATGGGGGCTGGGGAGGGCTCAAAATGTTCCTGGGGAAAAATGGAATCGAGACATCATGGCATTTCTCCCTGAACTCTGTGAAGCCTCTGAGTATACGGCCATTTCAAGTGTCCTGAAGGCAAACTAACATGGAAAAGGGGGGGGAGGGGGCGCAGAAATGTCAGGAGGTCTAACTTTGTGGTAACTCCAAAAAAATCAAACTCCCTGCCATTGAGTTGTCACTGACTCATCGTGACCCTAGACAAGGGAGAACTGTCCCTGTGGATTTCTGAGATGGGAACTCTGAGTAGAAATCCTTCTTTTTGTCCTTCGGAGTGGCTGCTGGTTTCAAACTGCTGACCTTGGGATTAGCACCCCAGCGCATAACCATTGTGCTGCCAGGCCTCCTTCCCTTAGTGAAAATTAATACGTGCTCATTACTATTTGACACTCTACAGTAAGGAGTGCCTAATAAGATATAGTCCAGATCAGCTTTTAAGTTAATTAGGCGATTTAAAAATAATACATCTTAATGATGTTCCTCATAGAACAAAGAGGCAACAGTTGTTTACAAGACATAGCTAAAGTACTTTGCTCATGAAAACAGACCGGAAATGGCTGAAGTCTAGAAAGTCTAGATCTTACTTGTTAACAGCTAAAAGATCGGCTTTAATAACCCACCATGTCCCTCATACATACTCTCCAACCATTGACTTGGGAAGTGGAAGAAATAAGACCACCTGGCCCCTACCCCTCAGGAGCACTTGATGATAGAGGAGCAGAAAACACACATTTTGAATGCCTCTTCCCATGAGCTAAAAAAGACACACTTCTAACTTTTAATTATCAAAATGATCATCCTAGAGGAAATGATACAGTTAAGTACTACTACCACAAGAGCAGAACACACCTGTTTTCATGAGCAAGTTCAAATCTGGAAGCTTCCAAGACTGTGAGTCAGGTCACAGTGTTCACCCGGGGGAGAGAAAGAGGACTTCAAGGCTGTCATTTAGCACCTCAGACAACGCCCTCGAAAGCTGTCCTCAAAGGCAGTAAGCGTTGCCATATTTCTTTGTCAGTGCTCTTCCCCCACCCCCTCAGTTCTTTGGTTAAAATAAACAAAGACTGGCTTAAAATAAACAAAAACTTAATCTAATAGGCCCAGTGAGGGAATGTTATAGCTATAAAGGCAGCACTAAGACGATCTAGACAGGGACTTAAAAAAAATCGATTGTCTTTTCATTTCATTTTTCCACGAAATTTTTGAAGCCCCAGTCCTTAAAAACTTAATGTATAAATCCTAAACAATACAATTAACATCCCATTAGACAAAGGAACAATCATTAATGCGAATAATGGTGCATTTTAACATACTTACATAAACAAATTCATCAAAACTTATCTTCCCATCTTTATTCCTGTCACCATCCAGCATGAGTTTTTGAATGATTTCTCTCACTTTATATCCCGGTAATGGCATATTAGCCTCCTTGAAGAGCTCATGAAGTTCATAGTCACAAATGAATCCATTGCTGTTGAGATCTTTGTAAAATGAAGAAAAAATGGGGGGGGGGTTTAGAGAAATAAGTTAACCATTTAAGATTATTTTTTCTTCCTCTGTGCCCCAGCTCATAAGGTTTTCTAAACAAGCTTTTCCATGGTTTTCTATTATGCATAGGAGTTTCATGAATTATCGCTTTTATATTTTGAAGTACACCCCCCCAAAGAATTTTTTTAATCATTTTACTGGGGGCTCATACAACTCATCACAATCCATCCATCCATCCATTGTGTCAAGCACATTTGTACATTTATTGCCATCATCATTCTCAAAACATTTGCTTTCTACTTGAGCCCTTGGTATCAACTCCTCAGTTTTTCCTGCTCCCCCCCATGAACCCTTGATAATTTATAAATTGTTATTATTTTGTCATGTCTTACACTGTCCGATGTCTCCCTTCACCCACTTTTCTATTGTCTGTCCCCCAGGGAGGGGGTTATATGTAGATCCTTGTCATCAGTTCCCCCTTTCTACACCACTTTCCCTCCACCCTCCTGGTATCACCACTCTCACCACTGGTCCTGAAGGAATCATCCATCCTGGATTCCCTGTGTTTCCAGTTCCTATCTGTATCAGTGTACATCCTCTGGTCTAGCCAGACTTGCAAGGTAGAATTTTTCCCCAAGAATTTAAACAAACATTGACCCAAGACAAATAGTTTATGCAGATAAATGCAACACTGAATAAAGCTGATAGATGTTTAAACAATCCCAAACCAAATCAAACCCACTGCCAGTGAGGCAAATCCAACTCTCAGTTTCCCTACAGTGCAGGGTAAAATTTCCCCCTTTGGGTTTCTGAGAATTCAAATCTTTATGGGAGCGGGAAGCTTCATTTTCCCCCCATGGTAGTTAGCAGCCAAGTATGTAGCCCATCACACCAAGGGAACCTCTTTTGATGTCTAACATGACACTATGAATAACTTTGTTTTTCTTTTTGTACTACTACAGTTTCAAGAGCGTATGTATGTATATAATGATTGATTGAATGGTGGTCATTCTGACCCTGTTAAAAATAGAAAATAAAAGAGCAGTGATCAAAATATGAACTTACCGATAAGGGTTTCAATATCCTGAGGGCTGTACTCAGCTTCATGATAGAAGTATTTTTTTGTGTATGTGTGAAGAACTGGATACCGTAATGTTTGACAATCACCGGCAACTTTAAATACTCAAAGCAAAAGTACCAACCTCACTGCCATCAAGCCGATGCTGACTCATAGTAACCCTATAGTGATCCTACGGGACAGGGTACAATTGCTCCTGAGGATTTCAGAGAGCTTTAACTCCTTATGGAAGTAGAAAGCTCTGTCTTTCTCCCTGGAAGTGACTGGTGATTTCGAACAACTGACCTTGAGGTTATCGGCCCAACTCATAACCAGGGCTCTTGAACTTTAAATACTAGTGTTCAATAAGGCTTATTATTCTTTAGGTGCCCACTGATTTTCAAATACACATTTAATTAACTTAATAATAGGAAATAACCTGATTAGACACATTAAATAAAACTCCCTCAAAGGTACTGTTCTTGACAGTAACAATATCCATAGTGAACAAAATAAGGGGTTCCTCTCAAAGAACTCACATTCTAGTGACATTTCATAAACAACCTATGTTGAGGAGGGGTCTCCAAACGTTTGTGGGAAAATAACATCATCTTTTAATTCCCACTATCTTTAAGCCCCCTTTTAGATTATGAGGTATAAATATAAAATGTAATTTAACAAAAGTGCTATGAAGAAAAAGATAGGGTTAGGGGCTATTTTGACTCCCCTTAGGTGCCATTCTTGCACCCTGGTGGCACAGTGGTAACATAGCTAAACGGATAAGCAAAAGGTTGGCGTTGGAACCATCAGCTGCTTCCTGGCAGACCGGCTGCTTCAGGAAAGATTGACAGTCTTGGAAATCCTATGGGGCTGTCCTACTCTGTCTTACAGAGTCATTAAGGCTTGACTCCATGGCAACAGGTTTCCAAGACATTCAGAAATGCCTCACAGCATTTTTGTTGGTATAAGATGTTCTTGGAATCTAATGAGTAAGAGCCAGAGATTCTGCAAAACATCCCACAAGGTCTAGGACCGCTCCTCCCTCGCAGCACAGAATTATGACTCGGAAGATGTCAGTAGCTCCCAGGTTGAGAAACCCTGGGTTAGAGTGACATGGGAGAATGGTGTTGACAGGATTTTATTTAGACAAGACAGCTCAAGGACCCTCAACGACAGTTCCCATAGCTTCCTGACTCAATATCCTGTTGGGACCCTGAGAAACAGACTTCAAGTGAAAGAGCTGGCCTGGAGAGTTCACTACGGAAGTCCTCATCCCAAGGTGGGAGCTGAGGCACTAGAAGGGTCTATGAACTACCATTCATAGAGAGTTTACTGTGTCAGGTGCTGTGCCAAAGTTCCATTATGTAGTCTCTAGTCCTTACAAACGGAGCCCTGGTAGTGTAGTGGTACGTATTGGGCAATTAATCTCAAGGTCAGCAGTTCGAAACCACCAGCCTCTTTGTGGGAAAAAGACAGGGCTTTCTACTGCCATGAACAGTTACAGTTTCAGAAACTTACAGGGTCGGTTCAATTTTGGCCAATAGGGTTGCTATCAGTTGGAATCAACTGGATGGCAGGGAGTTTGTCTTTGGGCTTTCGTTAAGGAAGGCCAGATGACAAGGTTATTTCTATTTGGATGAAGAATGCATTAAGGGAGCAAATCCTGTGCCTATCTGGGGAGTGAGACTTCAGATGGAGGGAACAGCAAATGCAAACAGTGCTGTAGAAGTGTGCTTGGTACGATTGCAGGACAACAAAGACCAGTAGGACTTGAGTGATGTAGTTAAGGGGAAAGAGAGAGATGAGGGCAGGGAGTTTATCCTGACGTAAGTTCTGATGGACCATGGAATGTACTGTGGAATTCATTTTAAATCTGGTCGAAATACAATACATATCAGCCAATTCATGATTTTGTTTCTATAAAGCATACTTTTAAAGTCGACCTATTTTTCTTTGACATAGATGGTTGTTAGTGGCTGTTGAATCGCTTTGGTCTCCTGGGGACTCCATGTGTGCAGAGTAGAACCGTTTCATTGTGTTTTCAAAGTTGTGACTCTTTACAAGTCCATTGTCAGGCCTGTGTTCTGTGGCGCCTCGGGGTTGGTTTGAGTTGCCAACTTTTGGGTTAGCAGTGAAGTACATAATCTTTGCTGCCACTCAAACACCTGGACACCCAGATCACTATGCATTATGGCTTGTGCCTATTCTAGAGAAAGGTGACTCAACAGAACACGGAACTTATTGAACAATGTCATTAATATTGCACGCAAGTACAATTTTGCATGCTTGGTAGAGAACCACGCCCAAAGAGGAAGGCCCTCAAGGAGATGGATTGACATAGTGGCTGCCACAATGGCCTCAAACATAGCAACAACTGTGAGGCTGGCCCAAGGCTGGGTAGTGTTTCCTTCAGTCATACACAGGGCTGCTATGAGTCGGAATAGAATGCCTGGCACCTAAGAACAGTGACAAGGCATACTGAATTGTATCCCTCCCCCCATGAATCCTAACTCCTATACCTGGGGAAACCATCCCATAGGGGAAAGGATTTTTCTTTGTTACGTTAATGAGGCCATACCAGTTTAGGGTGTGTCTGCAGTCAATTACTTTTGAGATATAAAAAGAACAAATTATGCAGAGACAAGGAAGCATGGGTGGGGGAAGGGAGAAGCCATGCCACATAGAGTTCACTAAAGAACCCACCTGCAAAGAGACAAGATTTCCCCTCCCCTCCTGGCTGGCAGAGAAAGCTTCTTCTACAACCAGTACCCAGAATTGGAGCATTGAGCATCACAGACTGTGAGAAAATTATTTTTGTAAACTAACGCCACTCGGTTATTACACTAAACAGTAAGGAAAAGAAAACCCAGAGTGATTGTCAGCTAGTCCATTCTGACTCTTGGTGATCGTATAGGACAGAGTCGAACTGCCCCTTTGGGTTTCTGAGGCTTTAGCAAACTTGACAGGAGGAGAAAGCCTCTTCTTTCTCCCTAAACAGCAAGAAACTTAGTTTTAAATCTCTCAATGCTGATACCTGTACTGTTAAAACTTCTTCACCAAACTGCCTCACACTTCCTTAAAAAAAATCACTTATAGTTCCCTTTGAGGGAAAGCACTTACTCCTCTAGGGCACACAGTTTATTAGTAACGTGTTTATAAGTCAAAATCAATCCAGCAACAACATCTGCAGTCACTAAAAAGTACAAAGTAATCCCCATGGCATGGAAGCAAAATCCTAGCAATTCTTGAATCAATTCTTGTGTTTAAGCTAACACACTTTCTCCTCTGCACAGGGGGGCTGAAAAATGTCATGTAAAAAATTGTATGAAAAGATTATAGCATTTTCCCACAAGCTTTGTGAAGCCCCCCACCCTCACACAATCTCTTTGGCCTATTTTCTTTTAAAACGTTAAAACAGAGCTCTTTCACAGAGTCAGTGAGGCACAGCAGTGGGACTAATTGGGCAGAGAATCTAATTTTAACTCTGTAGGGCTTTGCTTTGTGCTCTGAGCCAAAGGATCTCTAAGGTCCGGTTCGAACACACTCCCAATTTTACATTTGAGTATACAAACACAAAAATACTACTCCCTCACTCCCACCCTGTCACACACACATCTTGGGGTGGGGGCGGAAACAAAGCTGGTGTGTGAACTGTGCTGCATATTACAATTTAGTAAAGTGGTTAGCTAACTTCTTTCACCTAGCAAGCTTTGTCCACTTGAGCTAATCTTTGATAGAAAAATCTAGAAGGTATCACATCACTTTCCCTTGGCTTTTGAAATAATATATTGTTGGGCGCCAAGCTTTGTGGCTTCCGATTCATCACAGCCCTGTGCACAACAGAAGGAAGCACTGCCCAGTCCTGCGCCACCCTCACTACTGTTGTTCGGTTGAAGCCCATTGTTGCAGCCACTGTGTCCATCCATCCCAGTGAGG